TTCTATTATGGCCAGGAAGTTTCTTACACGTTTCCTACTGGATCCTTTCCCAGAATTAGGCTAGTGTGACCTTGTGCAAGAAGGCAGCAGGCAACGAAGAGTGTCTGGAGAAAAGACGGCATGAGAAGGGCCAAAGAAAAGATTTCTTAGTCTGAAAAACAAGGCTCTCCAGAGGCTGTGCCTCTGCTCTAATGCTCCCATCCTCCTACACTATCCTCCTCTCCTACTCATCCTTAAAATCACTCCCAAATCCTGCCTCCTCCCTTATTCTTTCTTTAACAATCTCAACACACCATTCTCTGAATTCTTACAGTGATTATTCCTCTGAGCATTTTAACTCAACTGTGTGCTGCCTTGCATTTTTGTTTGTTTGTTTTATGTATGAGTTTCCCCAAAAAGATTCCAAATGCCTGGAGAGGTATGGACTCATGTTATACTTTGTTTTTTAATAGGTAATGCTTTCTTAAATGTTTCTGAGAGTCCTTTTAATAATATATTACTCTTCATTCAGACAAATGCACAGAAGGTCATGCACACAATATTTAGTATGTAATTATATAGGATTAGGTAATTTATCTTAGGTTATTATAATAAAATTCTACAGTTGAATTCAAAGTAAGGGTGAACAAAAAGTCTGTATCAAAATACAATAGGCACAGATTGCTTCACTCCTGTGAAATATGAAGAATCAGAATAGGAAATAATGGCAAGTGAGTCACTTAAATATTATAATCTATGGGTATAAAAAATAGAATGTGTATATAATAGTATTTGCTAGCACAACAGGGTGACTGTCATCAAAAATAATTTAATTACACATTGAAAAATAACTAAGAGTACAATTGAATTGTCTAAAACACAAAGGATAAATGCTTGAGGTGATGGATACCCCATTTACCCCAATATGATTATTATGCGTTGCACGCCTCTGTCAAAACATCTCATGTAACCTATAAATATTTATACCTACAATGTACCCTATTATGTACACTACTATAATAAAAAATAAAAATTAAATAATATAAAAACATTATAATCTATCCATGAATGGATTACCATAATATTAATTTATTGGCAAATTCTGGTCTGGCATGGTGGCTCATGCCTTTAATCTCAGCACTTTGGGAGGTGGAGGTAGGTGGATCACTTGAGGTCAGGAGTTCAAGATCAGCCTGGGTGACACGGTGAAACCCCATCTTTACTAAAAATACAAAACTTAACCTGGCATGGTGGCACACCTCTGTAGTACCAGCTACTCAGGAGGCTGAGGCAGGAGAATTTCTTGAACTTGGGAGACGGAGGTTGCAGTGAGCTGAGATTGCACCACTGCACTCCATCCTGGGTGACAGAGTGAGACGCTGTCTCAAAACCAAAAACAAAAAATTGGCAAATTCCATAAGCTCCTACCATATGCCTACTATCAAATACCTAGCAGATACTGTGGTAGGTACTAGATCAAGACAAGAATACAGAGATGAATAAAGCTTCATCTCTGCCTTAGAAAACCCTAGAGAATAGAAAATATTTCAGGTCCACCTAATCAAGTCTAGAAAGTCCTCAGATGCCCAGCCATTTGAAGTTGGGCATGAAAGATGAATAGAAATTCACCAGGTAAAAATGGGAGAAATCACAGCTGGCAGAAGGGCAAAATTTGGATTGTGGAATCCACAAGGAAAAAGACATGAGACAACTAACATATGGGGGTGGGGCAGGAAGAAGGTATGAGAAGGGGAAGGATGGAAGGTAGAACTAAAATGTAGCCTGGTACAAAAGCATACACTAATGTTAAGGAGCTTAGACTTCATTTTGGAGGTACTGAAGAGCCACTGCCAATTTTTAAGAAGCAAATTAGTAGATTTTTATCTGGTTTGCTAGACAAAAATTAGTATTTATTAATTTAAGTGATCATTTAATTACAGACTCATTTAGGACAATATGTGAATTTAACCAAAGTGATACATAACATTAGGGCTTATTCTTTTGTTTCCAAAGTTAGCTATTTTGTTTTTATAAGTCATGTGGTTTCTAAAGTATATTTGCGAATACAAAATACATACATCACGAGGTTAAAAAGAGAAATGTCAACAGTGCCACCATGTAATGTATTCATGATGTCCATATAACAAATATGCTGATTAACTAATTTAGACTATTCCCTAGTTATATTTCATATGTGTATCTTAACTTGGAAAAGATGGGCAATTAAGTGCTAGTGTACTATCCTCTGGAAATCATGGACCATAAACAGAAGCCACCTACAGAGAGGCTTCGCAGATTTAGATGTACATCTCCAAACTGCTTGAGAATCTTAATTATGTATATTATTACTCAAGTTATTCATGTCCCCATGGATCATGAACCTAGCACTTCTGCCTTTTCTTACATCAAAACAATGGGAAACAAAAAAATTTAAATAACCTAACGATGCATCTTAAAGAACTAGAAAAGCAGAGCAAACAAAATCCAAAATTAGTAGAAGAAATAATAAAGAAGAGAGCAGAAATAAATAAAATTGAAATGAAGAATATAAAAGATCAGTGAAACAAACAGCTGGTTTTTTGAAAAGTCAAACACAATTGACAGACCTTCAGCCAGACTAACTAAGAAAAGAGAGAAGATCCAAATAAATAAAATCAGAGTTGAAAATGGAAATGTTACAACTGATAACTGATACCACTGAAATTCAAAGGATCTTTAGAGGCTACTATGAGAAATTATATGCCAATAAATTGGAAAATCTAGAAGAAATGGACAAATCTCTAGACACATACAATCTACCAAAATTGAACCATGAAGAAGTCCAAAATCTGAACTGACCAATAACAAGTAATGATATCAAAGCTGTAATAAAATGTCTCCCAGTGAAAAACAGCCCAGGACCTGATGGCTTCACTGAATTCTACCAAACATTTAAAGAAGAACTAATACCAATCCTAACCAAATTGTTGTGAAAAACAGAGGATGAGGGAGTACATCCATACTCATTCTACCAGACGAATATTACCCTGATACTGAAGCTAGACAGACACACACACACACACACACACACACACGCACACACACATTTGTCAGAGTTACTGGCTGTAGGCCAATATTAATAAAAAGCCCTCAATAAAATACTAGCAAACTGAATTCCCTAGTTATATTTCATATATGTATCTTAACTTGAAAAAGATGGGCAATTAAGTACTAGTGTACTGTCCTCTGGAAATCATGGACTATAAACAGAAGCTAATGAAGAAAATAATATAAAAGATCAGTGAAACAAAGAGTTGGTTTTTTGAAAAGTCAAACATAATTGACAGACCTTCAGCCAGACTAACTAAGAAAAAAGAGAGAAGATCCAAGACTAATTAAGAAAAAAGAGAGAAGATTCATCATGATCAAGTGGGATTTGTCCTGGGGATGCAAAAATGGTTCAACATAGGTAAATCAATCATTATGATACATCAGATCAAGAGAATGGAGGACTAAAACCATATGATCATTTCAACTGATGCTGAAAAATCATTTGATAAAAATCAACATTCCTTCATAATAAAAACTCTAAAAAAACTGGATATAGAAGGAACACACCTCAACATAATAAAGCCATTTATGGCAGACCCACAGCTAGCATCATATTGAATGGAGAAAAACTAAAAGCCTTTCCTCTGCGATCTGGAACACAACAAGGATATTTTCAACATAGTACTCAAAGTCCTAGCTAGAGCAATCAGACAAGAGAAGGACATAAAGGGCATCTAAATTGGAAAAAAAGAAGTCAAATTATCCTAGTTTGCAGATGATGTGGCAATATATTTGGAAAAACCTAAAGACTACACAATAAAATCTTAGAACTGATAAATTCAGTAAAGCTGAAGGGTACAAAATCAACATACAAAAATCAGTAGTATTTATTTATGCCAACAGTTAAAAGTTTGAAAAAGAAATATAAAAAGTAATCCCATTTATATTAGCCACAAATAAAATTAAATACCTGGGAATTAATTTAACCAAAGAAGTGAAAGATCTTTATAACAAAAATTATAAAATGCTGATGGAAAAAATGGAAGAGGATACCGAAAAGTGAGAGATATTCCATGTTCATGGATTGGAAGAATCAATATTGTTAAAATGTCCATACTACCCAAAGCAATCTAAAAATTCAATGCAATTCCTATCAAAATACCAATGACATTCTTCACAGAAATAGAAAAAAATAATCCTAAAATTTATATGGAGCCAGAAAAGACTCAGAGTTGTCAAAGCTATCTTAAGCAAAAAGAACAAAACTGGGGAAATTGCATTACCTGATCTGAAATGATACTACAGAGTTGTAGTAATTGAAACAGTATGATACAGCATAAAAAGAGACACAGAGACCAGTGAAACAGAATAGAGACCCCAGAAACAAATCCACACACCTACAGTGAACTCATTTTCAACAAAGGGGCCAAGACCATACACAGAAAAAGGCAGTCTCTTTAATAAATGGTGCTGGGAAAACTGGACATCCATATCCAGAAGAATGAAACTAGACCCCTGTCTCCCACCACATACAAAAATCAAATCAAAATGGATTAAAAACTTAAACCTAAGACCTCAAATTCTGAAGTTCTTACAAGATAACATTGGGGAAACTCTCCAGGACACTGATCCAGGCAAAAATTTCTAGAGTAATACCCTAGAAGCACATTCAACTAAAGCAAAAACAGACAAATAGGATCGCATCAAATCAAAAAGCTTCTGCACAGCAAAGGAAACAATCAACAAAGTAAAGAGAGATCCTACAGAATGGGAGAAGATTACCCATCTGGCATGGGATTAATAACCAGAATATATAAGGAACTCACACAACTCTATAGAAAAAAATCTAATAATCCAATTAAAATATTGGCAAAACATTTGAATAGACATTTCTTGAAGAAGACAAACAAATGGCAAACAGGCATATGAAAAGGTGCTCAAAATCACTGATGACCAGAGAAATGCAAATCAAAACTACAGTGAGATATCAGCTCACCCCAGTTAAACTGGCTTCTATCCAAAAGACTGGCAACAACAAATGCTGGTGGAGAAAAGGAAGCCCTAAGACATTGTTGTGGGAATGTAAACTAGTACAACCACTATGGAGAACAGTTTAGAGGTTCCTCAAAAAAACTAAAATACAGCTACCAAATGATCCAGCAATCCCACTGCTGGGTATACACCCCAAAGAAAGTAAATCAGTATACTGAAGCGATATCTAGACTCTTGTGTTTGCTGCAGCACTGTTCACAATAGCCAAGATTTGGAAGTAACCTAAGTATTCATCAGCAGTGAATGGATAAAGAAACTGTGGCACATATACACAATGGAGTACTCAGTCACAAAAAGAATGAGGTCCTATCATTTGCAACAAATGGACAGAACTGGAGATCACTATGTTAAGTGAAATAAGCCGGGCACAGAAAGACAAAGATCATGTGTATTCCCTTATCTGTGGGATCTAAAAATCAAAACAATTGAACCCATGGACATAGAGAATAGAAGGATGGTTACCAGAGGCTAGGAAGGGTAGTTGAGGGTTGGATGGAAAAGAAGGGATGGTTAATGGGTACAAAAAAATAGAATGAATAAGACCTAGTATTTGACAGCACAACAGGTGACTATACTCAATAATAATTTAATCGTATACTTTAAAATAACTAAAATAATATAATTGAATTGTTTATAATATGAAGGATAAATGCTTGAGGGGCTGAATAACCCATTTCCCATGATGTAATTATTATACATTACATGCGTGTATGAAAACATCTCATGTACCCTATAAATATATACACCTACTAGGTACTCACAAAAATTAAAAATAAAAAAAAATTTTAAAAGAAAACAAACCCTGATCTGCTTGCCTGTTGGCCTGAGGTCCATTCTAATTTCTTTCTAAAGTCTATCTGAGAAATAATCTGCAGTTCATAGTATGTTCCAAACAAAATATCACTAATCCAAAAATAATAAAGTTACTAAAGTAAAAGAAAATACTGCTATTATTTAAACTTGTAGGGGACTAGTATTATTGTCCCATTTTAAAGAGATAAACATTGCTCAATATTTTTAAAAAATAAACTTTAGTGGGTATTACAAGACAAACATAAGAAATTTATCTCCATCTGAAATCATGCATGATATTATAATTTCATGGAAATATTTTAGAGTAATGACTTTCAAATGAATACAGGAAGAATGTTATTAAAAAGAACAGAGATTAGGAAATATACTGTAGCACATAATCCTGCAGTGGGGAAGGGAACAGTCTCTTATGATCTAATAGGATTTTTCCATTCTTAAGTTGGTTAATCTTAGACACAAAGCAAATAAATCATTCTTGGTTTGTAAAAGTCCATGGTGACACTCAAAGGAAATTAATTCTTTTTGCTACACATGGTTTATAAAAACCTATTATTGAAGCCAACTCAATGAAAATTACAGGTTTATTACTACAATAAGATGTCAATTTTTCTTAAAATAAGGGATTTTTCCCCTTTCCAAATAGTTTCAAACACAAAAGTGACTTTCTAGTATCAAGAATTATGTGATGCATGTGGCAGAATGGTAAAGGTATGATGCTGGCATAAATGGAGAGCTTGTGAACTCAGTTTGGTAAAGAGGCCAACACTTGAAAACTGAAAGCAGAGGCTTTTTGAAAAATTCAGATGTTCTAAAGATACCATTCCATCACTTTAAATTTGAGTGATAAAGAGCCTAATTACTGGTGAAAATGTGATTAAAGTTCTTATCACATACAGCCACTGTATTGGAATCAAAATGTTATCATCACTTAAAAATGATATATTTAGAACCTAATTGCACGAGTAAGGCAGCAATTGCCCTCATGGTGCAACAATCAAAGATGGACACTTATATCAATGCACATATATTGAAACATGGAATTAAGACTTGCAGAGCAAATATATAAATGGAGACAGGCATTGCCTGAATAAAGGGTGAGTACACCGCAGCAAGGAGGCAACATATGTAACTGGGTTGAGAACAGAATAGCTATGAAAACCCTTCCTTCCAACTGAATAAACTATGTGGAAACAGTCTGGTCTTTGGTTAATCAGGAGAGTTTGATGAAAGAACAGGGATTTCAAAATCTGTTAGAAAGTTCACAAAACAGGTATAATCTGTAACCTTCCACAGGTAGGTGGTGACAGAAAAGGAAGAAAGAGAAGCCACTGAATAATGGAAAATGGATCAAAGGTGATTACCTAAAGGTAGAAAATAACATGGATAACTGGTGTCTTGAGGGAAAGAAATTAATAAAGCTTGAATGATTCAACCCAGGGCTCTTCCTTAACTCATTTCTTTTCCTTACACACAATATCCAATACAGCAGTAAGTCCTGTTAGCTTTACCTTCAAAATACAGTGCAAACCTGAAACCTCTTCCCCACTACTAATCTCTTAGTTCAAATCACTACAATCTTTTACCTGGACTTTCCTCTTTGCTTCCACTATCCCCAGCATCCACTATTCAGTACAGTCTACCGTCTACCCAGAAACCAAAATTTAATAATGACTTATCAAATTTAGAACAAAACACAAACTGAAGCTACTAGAATCCTATTTAATCCATGATATTGCTAGAATAGCGCATGTTTTTAAAAAGGAAGAAATTCACATCAGTTGAACACCAACTATATACTAAAGTATTGAGTTCTATACTTCATCCTACTGAAAAAATACTTTATACTTTAATATACACATATGTCACAGTCATACTATTAAATTCTCCTTTGGGAGCAACCAAAGGAACCTAAGTACTAAATTTTAAACAACTATTTGCATCCTAAACACCTGAGATGATAGAGTTGCTAATCCATGCAAAGCAATTACAAATCAGAGGTTGACAATTATGTAAGTAGCTGGAGCAAAAGTCAAAGGATTCACATTCACTCATAAGGGGAGGGCTCTTGAGTACAAAGGTTTAGGGGTAACATACGTGTAACTTGGGACTGTGCATATGACACCACACAAGAAGGGCAGCTGAATTTGCAACTTTGGTCCAATGCTTACTTGATTATACTCACATCTCTCTTCCATTGGCTTGAAGTTGGCTTGACAACTCTCTAACCAAGTAAGGTCAGGACTAAGATGAATCTATCTTGAAATGCCCCATATTTATGAATACTTACAAACTAACCTGCTAAAGAACTTAGAGCTGTGTCTTTATCCTATTTAAATCACTATGAAATTAACTGATAACCATGTTTTTGACTTGGGCCTAGTGGCCAAAGAGAGACCTGACTAGAAACCACGAGGGTCTCTGATTTGGGGAAAGTCTAATGCCCTAGGCCTACAACTACTGGACTTTACACAACCAAGATTGTATCTCTTGAGGAAAGAGGTAGTAAAATCTTTAAGAATGGGGGAGACTTCTTAAGGAAGAAATTCACCCCTGCATGTAGATATAAAATTCTACAGGACAAAAATGGGATTAGCTAGGGGAAAAAAATCAGAAAACAAATAAGCCAAAATATTACCAATGAATTATTCTGGGTGGTGGTACTATGAAAGATTGTTATTTTGTTCTTTGTATTTTGGGAGTGGAGGGCATATATTATTTTCTTTTAAAAGAAAAGCATTTCTGGGTGGAAGTCTATGCCTTTACCTCTTCCGTTCCAACTATGCTTCTCCTTTAAGACAATAAGCACCAAGTCACATGCCCAGAAAGCCCAGCAACTAATGCAAGTGAGTGGTTAATTGTGTCACAGCAGCAAGCACATTTCCATGCCAAGAGGCAGCTGCTCCTTTGCACAAGCATACAGCTGCGGCAAAGAAAGGCAGGTAGCATTGTTGAGAGATCTTAAAATATTTTTGACACTTGAAATCTGAATTTTTGTTGAAACTTTCTGATTTTTAAATTGTGGCAATTTAAATTTTTAAAACCTAAGCAAACAGAATAGCAAAACAAAACAAACTCTGTGAGGTATCAAGCAAAGTATAAAGGATTTTCAAGGGTGATTTTGCCCATAAAGTACAAGGTATATATTTATTTGTTTTGATGTGCAAACCTATATTCACGGTTACACACCAGAAGCACAGATCTAGATTTAAAAAAAAAAAAAAAAAAAAAAGAATAGTAATGGTCTATAAGTAGAAGTTTGGGCATACAAACAATCCCTTTAAGAGAACTTTTAAATCTCTATCTGAATGGAGGATGGACAGAAAAATCTCAACTATTACTTTCTGCTAGTAAAATTTATTCCATTCTATTTATTATTGTCTCTATTGCATGTTAACAGATTAAACAAGATAATGGGAGTGACATCTAAAATGGGGTGTCAGAGTAAAACTTTACTAAACTTGTAAATGAAATAAGTATGTTCTGCTTTGTCATTTTGCATATTCAACATGAAATTTGCTGAAAAAAAGTAACAAAGATCAGATGAGTCTGAGTCAGAGAAAGGAAATCTGAGGGATCAGTTAAGACAAATCTATTATAAGAATTCTTTCTCTCAAAGGACTGGATGCAACGGGTGTCATCCCAGGTGTACAGGAGACAAGGCAGCTAAGGCCATTAGGTGATGGGGGATGTCAGCTGGCCAAAGCCCCATCAGGCTCAAGTGGAAGACCTCACTCTTGTCAGAGTCTTCAGGTGAAGCAGAACAGATTGAGGTGGAAAGAGTGGAAGGAATGGAGTATGAGTATGGAAGGTATGGCAGGTTGACAAGCAAGGTCTAGAGAAAGCCTAAAAATATATTCAAAAAGGGAGAAATATGAAAAGCGTCTGGTGGATAAAACAACTAGAGGTAGGATACAAAGAAAGAGGGTGGGATGAGACAGAGGGAGAAAAGCATAAAGCCATTTATAAGACAGGTACTGAGGTCAAGGCCAGCAAAGAATAGTGGCCTGAACTCACACCCTGGGAAATGATCTGAATGCTGTTCTGACAGGAAGACGGAGACTAACAACAGGTTTCCAGATTTGGCCATGTTTTTTCAGCTTTGTTACTTCTGGCCAGGTAGGGGATGTTTACCCATTAAGGGCCAGATGAGGTGGAGAGCAAACATAACCCCAGAGGGGTATGCAGAATGGTCAGTTCCCTCAGTAGACTGGAGGCCAGAAATGCCATCCTAAAAGTCTGAGACTGGCCTAGGATTAAGCAGTGTATCCTCAGTACAGGTAGGCAAAGCTGTGATTCATCTATCAGCAAGTTTGCTATCTACTATTATTTCTGCTAAAAGTAAGCATCCAGTAAGTTAACCTGTTTCATTTACTTTGCAAACAATATATGGTCATGAAAACATTTAAAGAAATAATATTTTTAAAGTTTTACAGAAGCTAAGTGATATT